CATTAGCCATGATGGTCTCAATCTCCTGTCCTCATGATCTGCCCACCTCTGCCTCCCAAAGTGCTAGGATTACAAGCGTGAGCCACTGCGCCCGGCTGCATAGTTTTCGATCATAAGGATACACTTGTGGCAGGGTGTGGTGGCTCATGCCTGTGATACCAGCATCTTGGGAGGTCGAGGCAGGTGGATCACTTGAGGCCAGAAGTTCAAGACTAGCCTGACCAACATGGTGAAACCCCGTCTCTACTAAAAATAACAAAAATTATCCAGGTGTGGTGGTGCATACCTATAATCCCAGCTACTCGGGAGGCTGAGGCACGAGAATCACTTGAACCCCGGAGGCGCGAAGGCTGCAGTGAGCCGAGATTGCACCACTGCATTCCAGCCTGGCCATTTCCAACTTTTCCTGATTATAAACAGTACTACAGAGACCATCCTCATACCTGCCCGTGTGTGCTTGTGCAGGCCTTTTTTTTGCCGTTTGTTTGTTTGTTTGTTTGAGTAGCTAAGACTACAGGCATGTGCCACTATTCCCGGCTACTTTTATTTTTCTGTGGAGATGGGGTCTCTAGGGTTGGGCATGGTGCCTCACAACTGTAATCCTAGCACTTTGGGAGGCTGGGGTAGGAGGATCATTTGAGCCCAAGAGTTCAAGACCAGCCTGGGCAACGTAGCAATACCCCATCCCTATTTAAAAAACGAGAGAGAGAGAGAGAGATTAGGGTCTCTACAACATTCCTGGGCTCCAGCAGTTCTCCCACCTCAGCCTCCCAGAGTGCTGGGATCACAGCATGAGCCACCGTTCCCGGCCTTGTGCAGGCTTCTCTATTGCATGGATTTCTGGGAGGCCAAATGTTAAGCTGAGGCCAGTCATCCTTCAGTTCTCAGCTCTGATGCTCTTGTCTCCTGGGGAAAGCATTCCTGACCATTCTGTATTTTTTTAATTTTATTTTTATTTTTATTTTTTGAGACAGAGTCTCGCTCTGTCGCCTGGGGTGGGGTGCAGTGGTGCAATCTCCGCTCACTGCAACCTCTGCCTCCCAGGTTCACGCCTTCTCCTGCCTTAGCCTCCTGAGTAGCTGGGACTACAGGCACATGCCACCACGCCCGGCTAATTTTTTGTATTTGTAGTAGAGACAGGGTTTCACTGTGTTAACCAGGATGGTCTCGATCTCCTGACCTCATGATCCACCGGCCTCGGCCTCCCAAAGTACTGGGATTACAGGCGTGAGCCGCTGCACCAGGCCTCATTCCTGACCATTCTTGGTGTTACATGCTTCAGTAGTTCCCTGGACATCTCCTCACCAATGCATACTCTTTGCCCCATTGATAGATGTTGCTAAATTGTAGAAAGCATTACATAGTTGCTGTTTGTATCCAGGCTGACAATCCCTGCCTTTTGATGGGAGTGTTTAAGCCATTCACTTTAAATGTAATTATTACTGCTAATGGTTGGTTTTGCATTAGCCATTTTGTTATTTGTTTTCTGTATGTCTACTATATTTCTTGCTTCTCTGTTCTTCCTTACTGCCTTATTATGTAGTAAATAAATATAATTTCAGGCCAGATGTGGTGGCTCACACCTGTAATCCCAGCACTTTGGGAGGCCCAGGCGGGCATATCACCTGAGGTCAGGAGTTCGAGACCAGCCTGGCCAGCATGGCAAAACCCTGTCTCTACTAAAAATACAAAAATTTAGCCGGGCATGGTGGCCTGCACCCATAATCTCATCTACTCGGGAGGCTGAAGCAGGAGAATCGCTTGAGCCAGGGAGGCGGAGGTTGTAGTGTAGTGGGCCAAGGCTGCACCACTGCCTTCCAGCCTAAGTGACAAAGTGAGACTCTGTTCCAAAAGTTAAAAATAAAAAATATATATAATTTAGTATAACATTTGGATTCTACTCTCGTTTAACTATCTTTTTAGTTATTATAATGTGCATCTATCAGTGCAATTCAGGTTAATACTAAATTCCAATAAAATATAAAACTTTTCTCCAATATTGTACTATTTCCTTCTCCCTTTTTTGTGCTCTGTTTATCGGATATATTATATCCATATATGTTTTAACCCAGCAGTGTAGTATTATAATTATTGCCTTATACAGTCTTATATCTTTAAGGAAGTTAAGAGAAGAAATAAGAAAGCATATACTTATAGAATCCTATTTTAAAGCACAGTTTGCCATCTTGGGCTATTCATTTCTGTCTGCTGACTCAGGTCATTGTCTAGAGTCATTTCTTTCAACCTGAGGACTTTTTTGTTTTTCTTTTTTTGAGACGGAGTCTTGCTCTGTCACCTAGACTAGAGTGCAATGGCGCAATCTCAGCTCACTGCAACCTCTGCCTCCTGGGTTCAAGCAATTCTCCTGCCTTAGCCTCCTGAGTAGCTGAGATTACAGGTGCCTGCCACCACTCCATTGATTTTTGTATTTTTAGTAGAGTCGGGGTTTCGCCATGTTGGCCAGGCTGGTCTCGATCTCCTGACAGGTGATCCACCTGCCTTGGCTTCCCAAAGGACTGGGATTAACCGGAGGAGTTTTAAAATTATTTTGTATCAGGCAGATATGCTAGCAACAAATTCTCTCCGTCTCTGTTTATAAAGGAACATCTTTCTGCTGCCTTCATTTTTCAAGGATGGTTTTGCTGGATATAGAATTCCTGGTTAACGGTTGTTTTCTTTCAGCACTTTAAAAATTACTTTTTATTTCATTCTTTTAAATGAGAAGTCAACAGTTAATTGTATTTTTTTTTTCTTTTTTATAGAAATGGGGTCTCATTATGTTTCCCAGGCTGGTTGCCAACTCCTGGGCTCAAGGGATCTTCCCGTCTCGGCCTCCCAAAGTGCTGGGATTATAGGCCTGTTAATTGCATTGATGTTCCCCTATATGTGATGCATCATCTTGAAGCTTTCAAGATGTTTATGTTAGCATTTAACTTTCTTTTTATTTTTATTTATTTATTTATTTAATTTTTTTTTTTTGAGACAGAGTTTCACTCCTGTTGCCCAGGCTGGAGTGCAATGGCATAATGGTGTGATCTCGGCTCACCGCAACCTCCGCCTCCCAGGTTCAAGGGATTCTCCTGCCTCAGCCTCCCGAGTAGCTGGGATTACAGGGGTGCGCCACCATGCCCGGCTAATTTTTTTGTATTTTAGTAAAGATGGGGTTTCTCCATGTTGATCAGACTGGTCTCAAATTTCTGACCTCAGGTGATCCGCCCGCCTCGGCCTCCCAAAGTGCTGAGATTACAGGCGTGAGCCACCGCGCCCAGCCAGCATTTAACTTTCAACTCTTTTTCTAGGTGTGAATCTCTGTATTTTTCCTACTTGGTGTTTGTTGAGCTTCTTAGATGTGTAATGTTTTTCATCAGATTTAAGAAGTTTCCAACCATTATTTCTTCAAATATTTCTTCTGCCCCTTCTCTCCTCTCCTTCCAAAGTTCCTGATGCACATATGTTGGTACCCTTCATACCGTCCCAAAGTTTCTGCCCCGGAAGAGCTTCTTCATTCACTGAGCTGGGAACGGGTGGGGAGAGGACAAAATGGGACGAATTTCCTCTATTCTTGCCTAAAGTTCAGTTTCTCGAGCATAAATGCCTCTCAAATTGTCGTACGTGTTTGGTCAGTTTTCAGAGTACTGAAATGGTTTGTTGTGGTCAATTTTGTCATCTCTGGGGAGAAGATTTGCCAGTCTTCTCATTTGACTATAGTCAAAAAGTACCATCCTGTGATACTGCTAAATTAACCCTCAAAAAGGATTTATTAACTTATATATATAATCCTAGCTGGGTGTGGTGGCACACAGCAGTGTTCCCAGCTACTTAGGAAGCTGAGGTGGGAGGATCACCTGAATCCAGGAATTTGAGGCCAGCCTGGGCAACATAGTGAGACGTTGTCTCTTTAAATAAACAAAAAACCAATTATCCTCCCA